AATGTCATCTCCTTCTTCCGGGACAGAGCTGCCCCTCCAGCCCTCACCCTGAAACCAGACAATTCACATCCTCCCTGTATGTCCCTGGTGCCTTCCAGATGCTATCCAGTGCTGGAGCTCAGAGTGAGTGGGTTCGTCAGCAAGTAAGTCCGTGCATGGGCCCTGAGGAGGTGCACCTGGGACTCCAGCAGCCCTTGTCTCACTTTGCCACAATCTCTGCTGGTTTTCACAGCCAGATGTTATGGGGACTTCTCTCCCTGGCACTAGAACCCTGGGCTGAGGAGCCTTGTGTGGGGCTGGGACTCCTTGTTCCTTGAGAGGGGACATCTGTGGCCAAGATATCCTTCACTATTGGTCACTCATGGGTGTGGGACCAGCCTGTTCCACGTCTCTGCCCCTCCTACCAGCCTGAAGGTGGCTTTTTCTGTATGTCAGTAGTTGTAGGGCTTTGGTTCAGCAAGAGTTCAGGTGATTCTCGATGATGGTTGTTCTATAGTTTCGTTGTAATTGTGATGTGGTTGTGAGAGGTGGTTAGCACAACAGTTAACTATTCTGCCATCTTGGCCAGAAATAAGTTATTCTTTAAATATCTGGTAGAATTTACCAGTGAAGCCATCTGATCCTTGCCTTATCTCTCTCTCTTTCTCTCTCTTTCTCTCTCTCTCTCTCTCTCTCTCTCTCTCTCTCTCCCTCTCTCTCTCTCCCCCGCTCCCCTTTCTCTCTTTTACTAATTCCATCATTTAACTTGCAATAGATATGTTGAGATTTTTCTATTTATTCTTGAATAAGTTTAGGTAATTTGTGTATTTTTAGGAATCTGTCATTTTAACTAGATTATCTAATTTGTTATGTGCAATTATTCATTGTATTCTCTTATCATCCTTTGTATTTCTGTAAGATCAGTGTTAATGTCCCTATTTTCATTTCTGATTTTAATTATTTGCATCTTTTCTCTTTTTTCCTTAGGCAGCCTAGCTAAAAGTTGTCAAATTTGTTGATTATTTCAAAGATCCTATTTTGGGTTTTGTTGATTCTTTCTGTTATTTTTCTATTTTCTATTTAATTTATCTACTCTAATCTTTATTATTTCCTTCCTTTTGGTAGTATTGGGTTTGGTTTGCTCTTCTTTTTCTAGTTCCTCAGTGTGTAAAGTTGGCTAATTAATTTAAAATATTTATTTTTTTAATATAGGGATTTATAGCTATAAATTTTCCTCTGAGCACTGCCTTCCCAGCATGCCATAAGTTTTAGAAGGCACTTTTCTTTCATTTATCTTTATTATTTTCTAATTTCCCTTGTAACTTCTTCTTTGATATTTTGGTTGTTTAATTTTCACACATTTGTGGATTTCCCAGTTTTCCTTCTGTTATTGATTTCTAGCTTCATTCTGTTGTTGAAAAAGATATTTTGTATGATTTCAATCTTAAAATTTTGAGACTTATTTTGTGGTATACCATATAGCCTATCCTGGAGAATGTTCTACTTACATTTGAGAAGAAGGTGTACACTGCTGTTGTTGAATGGAAAGTCTTATATACATATGTAAGGTCCAGGTAGTTTATAGTGTTTTTCAAGTTCAGCATTTCTTTATCTGTCTAAGTGTTGTGTCCATTATGAAAATAGGGTATTGAAGTCTCCAACTATTTTTGTAGAACTTTTTATTTCTCCCTTCATTTCTGTCAATTTTTAATTCATTTATTTTGGGGTTATTTTGTTAGGTGCTTATATGTTTATAATTATTATATCTTCTTGACAAGTTCAGACTTTATCAATATATAAAACTCTTCTTTTCTCTTGTAACAATTTTGATTTAAAGTCTATTTTTGTTGCCATATGTCTAAAATATATTTTTCCATATTGGGTCATTTCTCATTGTATTTAGGATTTTTCTCTTTATCTTCAGCTTTTAATATTTTGACTTTGAGTTGTCTGGATGTGAACTTCTTTTTGTTTATACTACTTGGAGTTCACTATTCTGTAATTAATTTATTTTTCAGTAAATTTGAGAAGTTTTTAGTCATTATTGCTTCAAACATATTTTTTGGGCCTATTTTCCTCTCTTCTCTCTTTCTGGTACTCCCATTATGTGTAAGTTGCTGTACTTCATAGTATCTCATTTTTCTCTGAGACCATTAATTCTTCTTTTTTGTTTGTTTTGGTTTCCATGTTCTTTAGATTTAAGTTTAGTTTAAATTTTCATTCTGTAAGATTTTCAGTGTAGGTATTAGTAGAAATACCACAACATGTAACTTCTCTAGTCATTGTAGTAATTAATGCCACAATGGATAAGTGCAGCTGCCATTTAACTTCCCAAAGACTTGCTTTTAGTAGGCCTTTCATTCCAAGTAACCACAGGTGATTATTTAATCAGGAAACTGCATGCCATTGATTATTAATGCCCAATTTACGTTGTTTAAGAGTTCAAATAGTATTCACAACCAAAAACATAATTAAATCAAAACAGAAACTCCTGTGACTACTTCTGGTATTCAGTACTATATCAGTCAGGAGGTCTAGTTGGGAACAGGTAAATTGTGTTAGGTATTTTAAGTAGAGATTGTTCCATAAATGTTAGAAGTCTGAAAAAAACAAAAAAAACGGTGCTGAGGTAACCCAGAGATTCATACTTGCAGGAAGCAGTTACTGTATGGAATTCTGGGATATATTATAAAAAAGAAAGAGGAGATATTGCCAGACTCTGGGAACTCAAAAGAGGGAACCCTAGTTCTCTGGTGCTTGGGTCTCTGTGAAGGTGTCATAGGCCTTCAGGTAAAGGAATGTGGTGGAGTTGATAATCTGGTTGTTAAAGGGGCACAGCACATTTGCTCCTGTTATGTTGGAGGGTTCATGGACAGCTAGTGCTGTGTGTGTCGAAAGAAGCTAGTGGTAGATATCAGTTGTTTGCTGCTGCTGGAATGTCACTTACCAGAATTTCTCTCCTACATCCTGGTTTTCCTCTAGTGACTCCTATTACAGAACCTAACTGAAAATCAGGCAAGAAGGAAATATGGAGAGCATATTTCATAAAGTCCCAGCCCTGGTATCATGGAGAAGAGTAGTGGGAGACAATTGGAAAATATCTGACATACTCTGACATTGAGAAATAATGAGTATATGAAAAACTTCAACTTCACTATACTGTACATCAAAGCTCACTTATTCATTCATTTATTTAATAATCATTTAATGACTCTATCCCTTAAGTGAGCTTATATATCAACTCAGGTGAGTAGATAATAAATATAATGAATGAGTAAATATACAATATTCTGGAAAATGAGAAATGTTATGAAAAAATAAAGAGCAGACTGGAAGACTGGGAAAAATAGTTTGGGATAGGGGTGAGAATTTGTGATATTAAATAAGGTAATCAGGATTGGACTCATTGGGCAGAAAGTTGAAGAAAATGAAGTAGTTTTCATGCAACTATTTTGGTAGCCAACATTCTAAAAAAAAGAGATAGGTAGTACCAGAGTCCTGAGGTTATACCATGCTTGTGCATGTCAGGAAAGAGGGCAATGTCAACCCATAGATCCCAGGAAGCATGGGGGAGAACAGGAGGACAAGTAAAAGGGTCACATCATGAAGCCTTGAGAGGGTTTTGAGCAGAGGAGTGAGATGATGTGATGCTCTTTAAATAATCACTTGGGTTGCTTTTCTGAGAATCGACTTTAGGGAGGACATGGTGTGCAGGCTATTGAAATAATCCAGGCAGGAGATGATGGTAGCTTGGACCAGGTTTGTAGCAGTAGATATAGTGTGCATCAGTGGAACACTGAATATCTTTTAAGAGCCTAGAGGATTTCCTGATGCTTTGAATGTGTGTGATGTGCTGGTGAGGATATCCTGCTTCTTTGTCTCTTTCCCCCTGGTGAGTTGGTGGAACAGGGTAGGGAATGCTTGGCTTGTATCTGAGTGGGGTGGAGGGACTGGATTAGAGAGGCTGTCCTTACACCTGATGGAAATAGATAGGCAGTGTGGGTCACTGCTGCCACCTGACATGGAATTGTTCCTGGCCATTCTTTCGCAGCGCATGGGGGACGAGGCACTGAGACAGCAGTCAGTGATGCTGCTGGGGAAACCTAAAACATTTTTCTGTCTTCCCTCTCACATCTAGAATCTTCTGAAGTTTAGCATTCTTATTCTTCAATGTAAAATGGCTGTATGTTTCCTAAGAAGAGAGTTTAGTTTCACATGTCCAAAGCCACTCCTTCTATGAATTGGCTATTTCTAACCCTTCAACTGCACAGTTTTTCCTACTCAGGGTCCAGGGCCAGGTAGCAAATTCCCAGAACACTCATACACAATTCAGGAGATCTTGTGGGGACTCTGAAAACAAACTAAGAAGTAGGGCTAAGTGATAAGAGGCTAGAAGGCTACTTATGGCCCCCCAAGAGCTTTGGATGGGGGCAGAATGATGGGGCAAAAAGGCTTTATCTAATGTTCTCCCCATATGCACACAATGATACTAATGATGTTTTTGAGCATTTATTTAATGCTCGACTCTGCCCCATTCATGCCTTAGAGCATTCAGTTCTCACATCAGCACTTTGAAGTAACTATTATTTTCTTTTTTTATTGATGAGTTAAATGAGGCTCAAAGTAGAGAATCACTTGCCCTAGGTCCCCCAGCTGGCAGTTGGTGGGACTGGGATGTAAACTCTTGTCTGTCTATAGATGAAACCCTGATGCCCTAGCTGTCAGATGCTATGCTGTACACTCAACTACATGCGCTTTCAGCTCTGCATTCCAACCCACCCTCTCCTGTTCTCTACACAGAATATTTTCCTACACTTTGATGACTTTGCTCCCCATAGGTGCTTTTTTTGGAATCAAGGTAACTTTGGAAAACTAAACTTTTTTTTTTTTTGAGGAAAAATAAGAACAGAAGCACAATAGTTTGGAGGGATGTTTGGGTGAGTGTGTTCAGGTGATAGGACCCTTCATAACATATGTTATGCTAGCCAGTAGGAAAATAGTAGGTATGCTTTTATTTTTAATATTATTTTTAATGTTTTTAAAGAAAAAAGGTGAAATCAAATCTGTCACATATTACCACATATACAAAGAATATGAATATATTGAATCTATTCAGCATAATTACAGCAAATTGAAAATACTTTATTTACTAGCTACAAACTTTATATACATTTCTTTCTTATGTACACAGAATTTTCACCAAGCTCTTTTACAACACAATTACTGACCTTGTACAGAACTATTGGACTTTATTCTAAATTCCTGCTTTGCCCTTAGGGAAATTATTACAACCTTTTTATTCTACATGGCCAGTGTTATACTTGAGTTTCTTAATTTTTGGTTCACTATCAACGAGGGGGAACTAAAACTGTTCCTGTGAAATGAGTGAGAAATTGTAATTCTCCTGCCTCTGTATTTGATGGAATAATTTACTAGACACTAATTGGAAGTTTTCTGATGAAATTCTGCATTCACAAAAATCAAATGCAAATTCTGAGCTGGCCAGCACTGCCATTTCATGTTTATTTTGTGCTTCTGAAGTTTGATACTAAGGTTCTTAGCAGTCTTCTGTGTGCTTTGTAAGGGTGGAGTTCACTCTGAAGTTGGTAAGAGCTCTGTTTATAAGAGGTTGGCAAGATCTGGAAGGGAATAGGAATTGGCTGCTGGGTCAGAAATGTCACTGTCATGAAGTTGGGAGATAGAATAATGCAGCATCATACTGAGGTAGCTAATAAAATAGAAGATTGGATTGGATTCTAGAACAATTATGTTTGCTTTCGTTTCTTGCCATGAAAGTAATTTCAAAATCATTTTGTCCATAGTTTGCAATGTTTACTATTTATTTATTTTTATCTTTCAGAAAGAGTATATTTAAAATGATGCAAGGCTTTTTGATTCTTTCAGATTTCTCTCAAAATAGTTTGTATTTTTCTTCTGCGGATCTAAATCCAAAAAACCTACAGCATTTTAACCATCTGCCTCATATTTCTAGCCAGTGTTTGCCTGCAAACAATGACAAAGTTTCACAGTGAACCTTAATATTATAGGGTGGGTGAATTTTGGACACAAATTCTTTCAAACCCTAACAAACATGAAAACACTGGGATTGCTTTATTTAAAATGACTCCTACTGAAGCTGATTTCCATGTGTATTATTCTGTAATTCTCAGTGACAAAATTCACACAAAAGGAATAAAATCATATCTTTTTCATATTGTATTCATTTATTTTTATTATTAGTTTTCAAATTTTAAACTTAAAACATTGTTTTTAAGTCTTGGTTTAAGAGTCATGAGAATTCAGTGAATAATGTCAGTTTTCTCTAAAGAGTATTAAAAAGATACTTTTTGGACCTCAGGTATTTCTGTCATGCTAGAATGATGATATTCCATAAGCAAAACAACAACAAATCTACAAAAAAAAAAAAGAGGAAAAGAAAACAAACAAAACAGCTGATTGGAGCTATATTTTTCCTTTGCTGTCTTTGCAAATTATGTATACTGAATTTCCCTAACATGTGTGAAGGCCAGGAGTTGTTTTTCAGATTTATTTGGTGGTAGCTGACTACATCAAATCTGAGGGCCAAACTTCACATTTACATTCTGCAGCTGAAATATAGTCCCAGGTACTTAGAACACTTGTTAATGCTAGTCTCATAATCATTAATAAATTTGAGAAGATGATGTTTGCTCTAAAATATTAGGCGTTTTCTTGACACTTTCACATTGTATAATAAGCATTTACATTTTTTGGAATGAACATTTAAAAACATTGTATTCAACGATTAAATACTAATAGATTTGCTTATCTAAAGCATGCACACAAACTTCATAGACTTTATTGAGCTATTTCTGGCAACTCTGTAATGATCACTTACTATTTCAGTATTCAATTTTGAATTTAATTCTTTGAATTTGTTACAGACATTAAAATGATTGCACATGCCTGCATACTTGAATATGTGTGTATGTATGTGTCTATTGTTGTAATCAGAAGAAATTCAGCTTAAACACATATGGTGAGATTGTTTAGACTTTTAGCTTTGTAACAATTAGATATTTATGGCTTTGTGTCCAAAATAGAGGGTTGGAAAATTTAATATCTTGGCAGCAATAGACCATGATTTGCTCTTGAGTAATTGCTTTTAGACCTCGTTCTTCAAAAAATAGTAGTCGGTTCTATATTGAGGGAGGCATAACAATCCTGTAAAGTGTTACAGGTAATTATTTTAACTGGATAGCTTGAAAAATCTAACTGGATATTGTAAAGGAGAAGTTTGTACTATACATCCACATTCTCAGAAGATTTCTGCTTCTTAAGCAGGATTGACAGTATCTCTAATTCAAGGAAAGATATTTTTAAGCACTGATGTCTAGAAGATAAATTCTAACTTAATGGTGTACCTTGTTTTATTGTGGCTTTCAGAAATGTGTCATATATTTTTTCTTGTAGTAAAACAGATGCTTCCTTAGGACCATTAGTTTATTTCTTTCTGAGATATCCAAGCAGACAAAAGGGAAGCTCTTTCTGTGGGAAGGTGTGTATTATATTCTTGTTTGTCTGATATTTGTTCATACGTATCCAAATGATTGTACAGATTTCTATTGTAATAGTTGATTCATCTTTCTACATTTTGCCTGATTTATCTATATGTATATTAGCACATACAGGTAGTGCATAGGCTTTTTCCTAAGGACTGTCTTAAAATATATTTTCTGATACTTTCCCCTAGTCCTTTTTCTTTTCTTCAGTGTAGGGAGAGGAGAGGAAAATGTCTCTATACAATTGATAAAGTTGATGCCCACCTTAGATTATGGAGGAGAAACACATCTTCCTTTGGAGCTGGTAGATGGTCCTGTCTGCCATCATAGTTATGAATTACTATCTTTAATTCTTCCATAAATATTGTAACCAGTTTTAGAGACAAATGAGATTCTGTCATTAGAAGTGTTTTATACTCTACCTATTTAAAAATAATTTAAAATACTTAGAAAAAATAAAATAAAGAGGCTCATAGGAATTTGCTTTGTCTTTTTAAGGTCCAACCTTGACTATTTCTTAGCTTGTCACTTTAAAGTGTGTAATGGTCAAAAAGTAAATGATTATAATTATTTTTCTTTTGAAGCCACTTTTTCAGAAAAAAAAAAAGAGAATGATGTACAACTGCTTAATAATTTGACTAGATTTCCTTTTTAGTTACATTTCAAGGAGAAAATTTTTAAATAAATTTTTTAAACTAAAAATTTTAAATTCTACAAAATGAGTTTCTACTCTTTGAGGTTCTTTTTTCATCATTCTAGTGGGAAAATTCAACATTTAGCTTTTTTAATTTTGTTTTATAGCTGTAGATGAAGTTGTTTCATTTTATACCCGTTTTGCTTTTCATCACTCATAACTTTGTTTTTAAAGCTTCTTTAATCTTTTCAGAAAATCATATGTTGTTTTAGTGTCACAAATGTATACTGCAATTTTTAAATGAGAAAAATGAAACACTTTACAAATATTTTTCAGATATATTTTTGTTTGTTACATATTATAATTTAGAGTTTTCAAAGAATAAATTTAAAACTCATGTTATTTTTGAGGGAGGCAAATATTCTAATAGTATCTTTGTTATATTGATAAACTACTTTTTCTCAGTTGGACTATAGCTGCCAAAAATTGCCCTTCCATTTCTGGAGAGTATGTAGGATAGGACTGACACACTGTTAGAAGAAAGGGGGCCCTGCTGGCACTGTGGTGGCCTCACACTTCTATTTCCCCTCAGGAAATAGATTTAGGAACACTCATCCACGGAGGTAAAGGGTGAGCTTATGAAACTTGAAGTGGTGGAGGCAGATTTGGAATTCCTGCGGGAGCAGTCAGTGAAGCTGGGGTCTCTTGGAGTTGCTCTCTTCTTCCGACTGGATTTGGCCTTGTCGGAGTCACTGGGGTCAAACACCACTGTCATGGACTCCATTCTGGTCACAGTGTACAGGCTGCTTTGCCGAGTTGGGTGAAATCTGGTGGTCTTGAGCTCCAGCTCATCATAACTTGACACTTTGATGAAAGGACACCAGCGAAATGCTCTCTTGAAGCCAGCTCTAAATCTAAGGAGAAGCAGGACACAGGAAGAAAACGTCATGCTTTCAAGAGGAAATTTCTTTCAACTTCCACAGAAAGTCCTACTTAAGGTGCTTAAGCCAGCTCAGTTTTTGAATTTGATTTTCCAGTCAAACTCTTAGAATGTATGCCATAACATATACGTTACTAGTCTTTTAAGTTCTTGTTTTCATTGAATCTTACTTTTCCATCAACGAGAAGCAAATCATCGAAGAGTAAAAGCACAGCACCGGGTAATCAGTATGCCAAAAAAACAGGGTACATTTCTTCAATAATTTTATACATTTGCATAAGTGTAATTAAATTAGGCTTGCTGTTAAGACACTTAAGAATTACATATTTCAATACAGTTTCTTTCAGACATAATTACACATTTATAAATTAAAATCTTATTTAATGTTAGAATTAATTGCTACTCTTAAGGGTTTTTATGTAATCATATATGAAAGCACACAATCCTTGGCTTTGTAAACCATTAAATGAAGTTGGTTAAAAACAGGCATACTGCTTGTGGGGTGGCTTGAACAGATACATGGCTTATGCAATTAATGAAAAAAGTAAGAATTAAGTATAAAACAAATTTAAGGCACAATGTGGTGGAGGCCCAACTGGAAAGAGGGCTTAGGATTTAGCTCATGCAGTTACTTACATGAAGTTCCATTTCTACTTGTACTCAAAATAGCTCAAAACACAGTGGTTTATTACGAGAATTATCAACCTTTGAAATTTAACCCTATCCCTCCATATGCTGACCTTACAACTAAGGTGTTTTTTTTATCTGGAAACCACATTTTATATATTTTTTTACAATCTTAAATTTAACTGTAAATATGCCTACTATTCTTAAAACTTCACTTTAAAAATAGCTTTCCCTTGACCACCTCAATTTCTTCACACCCCATTCCTATGGAGGCCTGCACCCCCTGCTATTCAATGACCTCACTAGGTAGGAAGGCAGATTGTAATTCCCCTTGCCCTTACTGTTGCTTCTATCACCCTAACTGCAACAGCTTTTATTTTGAAGTCTATTGACAACACATCCTTTATAGTAGAGCACACTCACATATACCATCATCTATGAATTTCTACTAAGTGTCTTTATATCTTTGAGGACTTAAGCACATTTTCAACTCACCTGCTTCAGTCATGAGGGCATTTCTTTTTCTTTGGCAGATAAAATTGGGAATGGTTTGGGGGGGGGAGAATTTGACTCATAAAAAAACTGACCAGTTAGAAATTCTAAGAACATTGTTTTGAGGATGTAATTGTTGGAGTGGGATATTTCACAAAGTATGGGGGAGTCTAGAAAAATATCCTGCTCTGTGCTCTTCTCAGTGAATTTTTCCATTTTCCCTTCCTTTTACATTTTAAATTTGCACCAAGAAACTGGAACAACATTATATGCTTCCAGGGAAGCCAGGAGTGACAAGAAACTTGCATTTGGTAATTTTGTTTTTACCTCTTATTCAGACAGCAGTAGATGATGGGGTTGTACATGGTTGAGCTCATTGCCAGCCAAAAACTAGCCAGGTAGACCTGCTGGATGTATTTCCACCTATTTAGTTGTTGATAGACTGCAGTGAGGATGAAGTAAATATGATAGGGCAGCCAGCAGATGGCAAATATCACCACGACAATAATCATCATTTTTACAACCTAGAAGAAAAAAAAGAAAAGGTCATTTTTGGGAAATTTAAAAGTCATTAAATATATCAGTTGCAATAGCTGACTGCATATCATATTTCCCTGCCAATACAGTTAAGCACATGGCATGCTTCAGAAATAGTCAATGCATTTTTTAAAATGGTGAGGTAATAAAGTGACAGTGGCCTAAGGCAAGTCTCCAGAAAGCATACTTGTGTCACCATTCCATCTTTAGCTAACGCTACTGGATGGGTGGTACTAACTCAAACAGAAACAAATATATTGTAATTGGCCTGAAGAACATAAGTGCTTATAAAAATCCAAAGAGCCTGGAAGAGAAGACAGAAAAGCAGGAGCTAGGATTTGGCTGTGCTCGCCTCGCTGTTAAATAGCAGAGACATATCTAGAGAAACCATTGAGTCACTGTGGGGGTATATTAGGCTCTAAGGACTGGGCTGGGTCCTCAGTATTTATTATAGCTTGACTATAGCATAAGACTATTTAGATTTCTTTACTCTAATACCATGCTAACTGGGCAACTTTCTGAATATTAACTCGGTTTCTCTTGTAATCTGGTATTGGGAAAAGTTTCTCTGGATGGTGGTTGTGATATTCATATTAGTCTGAGGAAATAGCACTAACTTTAAATACATAATTTAGGCAATCAGCTTACACAGCTAGTTTATACAGTAGCTCTATGAGTTTGGTAAGCAAGGATCCTTTCTTCTGTTTCTACACTTTTGAACCAAAATATCCTGGAAAGTCCTACCAAAGGAGAATGTCGACCTCTATTTCTCCTCCACTAGGCCTTAAATTCCTAAAAGGCAGAAAGAATGTCCTAATTATCTTAATATTTCCAGTATCTAGCACAGTCCCAAGGATATAGCTGGAGATAAATAATTGGACATAGAATAAATGAATAAATAATGACAGTGTACAGTTTGTAACAGGAAGTTAAATGAGAGGATGGTTTGTGTGTCTGTAAATGAAATGTGTTCCATTCTTTGTGTCTATGAGAAAGGTAGACTCAAAATTATTGAACACTGAGCAGCTTGGCTTTGTGTATTAAAGGAAATAATATTTTATAATTATCTCATTTAATATTTATTTTCTTTTTTTGTAAATTGGGGAACAGTGTTGGGAAATTAGGGAGGGGGACCAGTGAAGCTGTTGTTCTTTAATCTTAGTTGTGGAGGGTGCCAGTCGCCTTCTGGCTGCCCGTCAGCAGCTCGTGGCCTTTAAGCTCAAGGTGCTGTGTTACAATCTTAGTTGCGGGTGGGCGTAGCCACCATGCCATGCTCCAGTCGAACCAGCAGCCTTCCTGTTAAGAGCACATGCTCAGTATATCTACTGAGCCATCCAGGTTGAGCTCAGCTCAAGGTGCCGAGTTCAGTCTTAGTTGCGGGTGGGCGTAGCCCACTATCGAACAGGTAGTTTTGTTGTTAGGAGCACGTGCTCTCGCCAGTTGAGCCATCCTGCCACCTGTTGGCAGCTCAGTGGCAGCTCAGCTTGGGCGCATGGTCACTGGCCCATGTGGGAATTGAACTGGGGTCCCTGTTGCTCAGAGCTCGTGTTCTTAAGCTAACTCTTAATCAACTGAGCCACTCGGCCAGCCCCTCATTTAATATTTCTTATTCTCAATCTATCTACTAAATTTGTTCGTACTTCTTTTGAGAGTTTAGAAGTAGTAAAATGTTTAGAACAATGTACTAAAGTGCCAAAAAATGTATACACATGCTTGTATTCATCTTTTGTTCTTATATTGGTATATATTGAGTATTACAATTTTAATATAGTTTTTTTGCTTCTTAAAATGTGTATACATTTTTTTTGACACCCTCTGTAATTTAAACAAAGTGATTTTGAGGCTTACCCATAGTCAGATCAGAACACAAATCAGTATTGACATATATGGTCTATGCAGCAGCTTAGAACTATGAAAGTACGTTATCTATGTACAGGACTTGTCATTTGACTGCAAGATGGAGATTCAGATGAAAGTTGGCAAGGTTAAGAGTCATAAGAGACATGATTCTAGAAACAGACAAAGCATAAAATGGATCAAGATGGAAGAAGACACTCTCCCACGGGCTTAATCATTGTACCATCTGGGTGACAAGTACTGAACTGGTAGAAATTGGCCACCAGAGCTGAAAATCCAGGTCAATAGCTCACAGAATGTCATCATTGGACACACCATGTAAGGTCTTTTGATTTTCTCAGGAGTCTTTAAGTTGCATTTTTTCCTAAAGAATCGCATTCAGATTTCTGCCTTTTTATCTCTTCTATTTCTTTCTTTTTTTAAAAAGATTTTTATTGGGGAATTAGGGGGATGGGAACAGTGCTGGGGAATTGGGGGAAGGGGAACAGACAAGTTGCTGTCGTTTTGTTCTTCAGTCTAGTTGTGGAGGACGTTGCTTCACTGGCCCAAGTTGGCACCATCATTGCGCTCTTCCCGGCGGAGGCAGATCAGTCGCAGGCTTCTGGACGGCCGCTCACTGCGGCTGCTGGCTGCTCACGCTGGCTGCTCACGCTGGCTGCTGGCTACATACGGTAGCCCATGGCAACCCACTGCCACAGAGGCTGCAGCCTACGCAGTCGCCAGTGACTCATGGCAGCCCAGCTCCAGGTTGAGCTGTTGTTCAGCATCTTAGCTGTGGAGGGCAGTGTCACTGGCCCTCATACGTGGGATCCGAACTGGGGCCCTCTGGTGTCCCAAGCCAGTTTTTAACCATTGCGCTACTTGGCAGGCCCATCTCTCCTATTTCTTATTCATATATTTGTGGAATACAACTAAGAGCCATATTTTATTATAATTTATATTTATACAATGTTCCACATATTTAACAATTTAATAACTAGTTTTAGGTTACAGTTTAGGAAACTGAGGGCAATAACCCAGAAGATTTGACCACTGTGATTCATGGAACAAAGTTAGAGTCTTTACACCTCAGACTCTTAAAGTCTGTTTTTCTGCTTACAATTAATAACATTCATTGACTGTCTATGGGGTCTAGAAAATAGTATAGAGAACAATAATGAATATAAGACCAATTCCTTATCCTGAATAAGTTTACGATAGCATAAAAAATGTAAATGTTTTCCAAAAATTGCATAGAAATGTGAATATAAACATGTAAATAACACTGAAAATAATATTGATGATGGCTTTAGTTAAACTATTGCAATAGTTGTTTATTATAAGCATGAATGACTCAGTGCACATTAACTGTAGGCCCAGGAGGTATTAAACTAAATGAAATGACTGCTATTGACTTTTGCCTTCTTGAACATGTGAACATCCTTCCATTCCTTGAACACAGTAGGCGAGCTCCTGTCCTGATTATTCCCCCTGGCTCCTCCCCCTAGACCACTCTCCCCCCAATTATTAACACCCTCATCTCCTTCAAACCTTTGCAAAATTCTCACTTTTTCTATGAATCTATGTTGGGAGCCATGCAGGCTGGCTTTACTGTAGTATAACTTGTTTTGCTTTTTGCTCCTTTCTGCACCTGGAGGATGCTTACTGAACCTTGAGGTATGTGGTGAGAAGGCCAGTTCCTTAGAAGACACAATAAGATAGAGGGCTGTCTGGGTTTGTGGAAGATAGTTTCCTGGGAAACTGACCCTCCAAATTTTCCACTGACCTTCAGGTTTCTAGTTGGTAACGAATGATGTACTTTTAATGAGGTTATGCATATTCATCCCTTCTGTGTTGCATGTACTCTGGAGGTATATAATGGGGAGGAAAAATAAACTCG